AATTAAAGTTTTTATTTTTGTGAATATAATTGAATTTAATTAATATAATCATTATATTATTTTACATTAATATTAACAAATACGTATATGTGTCAAACGACCATTCTAATAATTTCTATCAAACGCATATATGCGTTCATAACACTCAAATGATTAATAATATTCTTATCTTTGTTATTTTCTTTTCTGTTTCTTATTTGATGAAACTTTTTGAAAATTTATTAGCCATTATATCTCGTAAAAAACATCGATTGTGTATTATGCGAAAGTATTAGTAAAAAAAAAAAAAAAAACTGAATTTTTCTTATTAAATAATTTTTGGTTTAACGAGTAATAAATTAGATTAGACACTAGAATAGATGTTAGTTATAGTTACTTTTGGTTGAACATAGACGATATAAAACATATCAATGAAAATAATGAATTCGTATTTGGTATGTTACCACCGTTGATAGAATTTCCAGACCTTTCGTATTAGTCGTCTCTCGTTGATCTTTTCTTGGAATTCCATGCGGCGCTGAATCGTTACTGCTATTACACAATGGACCATTCTGTTCGATTATTCCTCGTTTCCGCGAAAGAAAAAAGAGAAAGAGAGAGAGAGAGAGTGAGAGGGGTAGGAAGGGAGAAGGGGGAAAGATATCGATAAGGTCGTGTAACTTGATACAAACGTCACGAAATTAAGAGTAGCTAGACGTTCGAAAGAGTTGCTTGCTTTCAATTAAGCGTTTAACTCGATAGAGATGAAATGAATATTACAGAAAGTGAAAAGACAGAGTGTATGTGTGTATGTGTGTGTGTGTGTATGTGAAAAGGACAGGACAAAAAAATTGTATTCTATAAAAGTGCACGGTATTATTTTAAAATTGATTGGGATGCATTTGTTTTTTTGTTTTTTTTTTCTTGAAAAAAAAAAAAATACGAGACAGAATCAGATTGAAAAAAAATAAAAGGAGAAAATAAGGAAAACGAGGACACGTCCGTGAGAGAAACGTTAAGATAACACATTCACTGCTTGATAGGGTTGGTGAATGTCGTTTAAGAAGATACACACGGCTAATGGAAAACTAGTATAAAAAGAAGAATTTTTTTTTTGTAGCCACTTTTTAGCCAAAAGTGTGATACTTGCTTTTATGAGATGACATTATTTATTTGAAAATTGTTAGCAAAGAAAAAATTGTCTTTTTACGCTAGTTTTTTTTTTTTTTTTTTATTACGAACATTAAAGTCATATAAATCTTGAAAATGTGAAGTTTAAATAATTAACTTGTTAACCGGGCGGGACGTATAAATACGTCAAATGTATTGCTTTAAAGCTAAAGGTACAAACTTTCGTTTAAAATAAAATATATATATATTTCATAGTGTTTTCATTTATTTTAAGCATAAATGATAATAATAAATAGTAAATAAATAAATGTATAATAAAAAAATATATATATTTTTTGTGTTAGTTTTTTTCCGAATGGAAAATTGATGTTGACCCTTAAAAGTAGCTTGTGAAATAAATTTCATAGATTATACATAGATTGTACACGACTAACTTGGTTTAGCGACTTTTTTCTTATCGTCATAGACCATACGAGTGAAAAAGAAAAAGAAAACGAGTGAATGTGCAAACTAACCGCGCCAAAACGAATAAATAAATATATTCTGGTGAGAAAGAAAGAGAAAGAATCGTTCTTACTAGTGTTATATCACGTACGAATTATTCTAGAACCTTGTGCAAGATTACCTCCTATCTATTACTCACGTAACATGTTCGTTTTCTTATCATCCGGAAATATTTTTTAATGGTGGACATAAAGTGATATAATGATTATTCGTATGCGCAATTATTAAGAATAATTTAGCGAACGTTCAATAAAATGTTGATTATTTATTTTATTTTTATTTTTGGTAAGTATTAAATACACACACAAAAAATGATAATAACAATTGGAGAACATTGACTGATCAAATACAAAATGTTGATTATTTTTATTTGAACTATTTTTGATATATTTAATTAGTAATTTAAACAAATAATAATAATAATATTAATAAGTTAGAAAATTCAACGAACGTTTACAAAATGTTGATGATTTTTATTTGAATTATTTTTTTTTTTTTTATATTTAATTAGTAATTACAAAAATAATAATAATCATTTGGAAAATTCAATGATCGTGTACAAAATGTTGATTAGTTTTTTATTTTAAATTAATTATCGATAAAAAAAAAATAATATAGTAATAATAATTGAAGAAAAATTAATTAAAAACAACAACAAAATATTCAAATCAAATGCAACAAGAACTAGTAGGAACTGTAAAAACCATTCGATAAACGAGGTCAAACTTATAGAGGAAGAGTATTTATACACGTTTCATATTTCCTGTACAATATGGATAATTAATTTATAACAGCTGTCAGGAATGAGATAAAAAAAAAAAAGTATTGACATACTAGCGTGTTTTTTTTTCCATATTATTATTATCATTATTTTATTTCAATATTACTTTTCATTTATCTTCATTCCGAATCACATTTATCTGTTACAAAAACGTTTAAAATTCTTCGGGAATTAAATTGATTCTATTAGAAAAAACAAAAACAAAATTAACATAGATGATAAGAATCGAGAAGGAAGTATTAAACTACTCAAAATAAATATCTAAAAAGCTAACACACACACACACACACAAGTTACGATAGATCGTTTAAAAGGAAATCCGTCGTAGGAGATGAGATGATTACTGTTGACTTTTTTCCTTCTATCATATCTTTTTTAAACGGTCGATCGAAAATCCAGTGGGATATGGCAGGCAGCTTCCGTTTCGATACAGAGCTTTGATTCATCCTCGTAACGCGCGTAAAGACAGAGAGACGCGAGAGTGCAAAGAGAAAACGAAGAAGAGGGTGGGAGAGGCGGGGGGGGAGCGGTAGGGGGAGGAAGGAAACGACGAGAGTAGAGACGGAACCATGGCAGCTGCGACTTTTACTCTGCGTGAATGTACCCACACACAAATGTGGACAGATTCTCTATACGAAGAAGAGAGAGAGAGGGAATAGTCAGAGATATCGCGCGAACATACGGCCACTTGTTCTCGGATTACACTGTAATACGTACAAACGCATATATGTATGTGTGTGTAAGTTATTATTTATTATTTTTCTTTTTTGTCATATTTTGTATTATAATATTTTTATTTTCAAAAAGAATATTCGTAAGAGTGTATCTACACACCTTTAAGTATACAAGAGACGAAAGGTGAATAACGCGAGAGCTAGCGCGAGCAAAGATACCGCAGTTTGGTACTTTGAATGGAAGATACGCAAGGTGTAAATTATCTTCAATTTTCTTGCGGCACGTATTTAACGAAATTGCCGGAATAGCTTGGCTGCCGTACCATCTTCTTCTTCTCTCTCTCTCTCTCTCTTTCTCTCTCTATCTCGGTTTCTCTTACTCATACACACGCACAAACAAATTCTTGGTAAAGGGAAAACGGTGTTTCCTTCGAGCATGCAAATTCCAGCGCTAAAATCGGCTAAATCGTCGGATAAATCAGAAAGCAAGTGCATCTTCTTAAGTTTCCCGCTCCCTTCTATTCTATTATAGAAGAAGCTTTGGTTAAAATCTTGTATACTGTTATGCCTGCCTAAGATGGTACTATGTGCGTCTGTAGAACTTAAAAAAAAAACAAAGTAAATAAAATAAGATATAGAAGGGGTGGTTAGAAGAAATAGAAAAATTTTTGATAAAGAGACACGTAAAACTTCAAATTCATGCAAACTGTTTGAAGTGGACGAAAATAAGAGGAGAAGTGGTGATCGTTGAAAACAGAGAGAAAGAGAGAGGAAATCCAGTTCAAGCTGGACCAAGACCGCTTACCCATATTCATAACTGTGTAAATATGCCTAGCAACGTAACGCACGTATAGAGATGAATATTTATGATGAAGGTATAGAGAGAAAAGAGTGGCGCTGGGGTCAGCATTCGGATTACTATAATTCCATTCGTTGCAGCGAAACATCTTTCGCGTTTGTATACATAATGGCTTATGATATGCACGAACAAATTACGTTAGGAGTCCAAGTACGTGCCACTGGGAATATCGTCGAATTTGGTTCGGCGGACAAAAACGGGGAAAAGGAAGGTTTTACTTTGTCCACCCTTTTAAGTAATCGCTTATTATAATTAATCGTCCGAAAATGTCATAATCAACACGTATTCTCGTTTTTTTAAAGTAAACTCGCGAAGATTTGGAACATTTGTCTCTCATATAAATAGATTGTGTACAATGTAAGTGTTTGTTTTTTTATTTTATTTTATTTTATTTTATTTGGTGGACTTGTTTTCTTTTTTTTTTTTGTTTTTTTTTCTCTCTAAACAAAAGGCACGCTAAACAATCGACCTAACCCGTAATCATAATTTACGAACGAAATATTTACGGACTGTCATTTGCTAAATTACCGCAAGATTACGTCTAGTTACCGAAGAGACTCGGTGGCTCGTACAAGCCCSCTAGAAGAAGAAGAATAAGAAGAATAAGAAGAAGAAGAAGCAACATCGAGACACGACGATGCTAGTCGATCTTTCTCTTCTAAGCTGGCTAAACACGAAGAAGACACATGTATCATCCTATATATATATAGTAAGCGCCACCGCCAACAAGCTAGGAACATGAACGAGGACGAACTCGAAGGCAGCACTACTCGTGGCGTCCGAATCGGTCGAACCGAGCTAAATTATAGGTCGTTCTATAGGGGGTGGCGGGGGGGGGGGAGGTTGAGGGGAAGCTTGGAAAATCTCGAAAACGATCGGCGATCGTTAAAGCTAGTAATTCCGATGAAGATCTTCTAGTGATCTTAGTAGAGAAGGTTACTGATCTTTCCGTTCCAGTCAACGTTCATTTTTAACGATTTCATCTCTTCCCATAGAAATCATGATTTTCAACAAAAAGTGATGTGATTACCCATATCTATTAAATGAAATAAAAAGAAAATGTATTTATTACCTTTTCTTGGAGAGCAGCGTATAGGACTCTTTCGATGCAGTGCACAGTCTCATCCGCATTTTGCGGCCGAGTCTATCGGCACCACGCTTCTTAGCTATTCCGCCTTCCAAAACTGGCATCCAGGCAATCTGGTATCCACTATGACCAACGATCGAGAGGATCGCAAGGGCACGATCATTTGCACGATCGAACAACTCTTTCTCTTTCTCTTTTACACTATTTGCACCCAGGGTAAGAAGGATTATGTTGTAGGTACGTGGTGTACGCGTATCATACACGCACACGCAGCACACGTATACGCCCACGCCCAGGCCGTTTCTTTTCCTCTTCTTCTCCCCCTTTAAGGTTTCTTTCTGCTTCTTCTTCTTCTTCTTCTGTTATTTCTCTTTTTCTCTCTCTCTCTCTTACGAGGAGTTGTATCTCGAAGTTCAACGGAGCCGATTATTAATCACGATCGCCTTCTCTCGCCTACAATAATTACTATTTACTTGAAAAAGTTTTTTCTACTATTACTATGGAACAACGAAAGACGGGGTTAAAACGTAATTCACGAAGTACTTCGACTCCTCCTCCTCATCGCGTTTCTCCACCCACGATATTCACCTAGCGATCGTTTACTTCGTTGGGATCGTTCAAGTAGATAAGGACCTATCTTGATCAGCCAAGGTCTTGATAGCCTCTAGCCACGCAGAAATAAATATTTCCAAGATAGTCCTTCTCTTCTTGTCGTTATCCTTACTATATTTTATTTCTTTTTTCCTTTTCCTTTTCCTTTTTTTTTTTATATATCGTTCTTTTCTTTTTTTAACCTTCTTACTTACTTACGATAGCCACGTATATCGGGGTCTTCTATTTTCTCAGTAATCTAACGTATTCTTGTCTTCGACACAGATAGTTCGATCTATTCTCTCGTAGGAGGAGAATAATCTTTATTCGATGTTTTTCAGTACAAGCTTTTCTCTTATTGCACCAGCTGTAGACGTCTAAACATGTTGAACGAAGACCCACGCTTCTCTCTTTCTTTTTTTTTCTCTTTCTCTTTCTTTCACTTCCTCACGAAGAAACGTTCCGAGAACGATGCGAGTAGTACTCTTGATGACTTCTTGATCAGTACCAACGTTAATATACAAAAACAACAGAGAGAGAGAGAGAGAAGGAAACTTCGAACGTCCAGTTTTTCTATTAACGATTCTTCACTTTTATCTCTTCGCTAAAGATAGACAGCCAATCGCTTTCCCTGTTCACTCTCTTTTTATTTTAAATTAAATACACGAACAATATGATCAAGTAAAGGAAAAGAATATTATTACAGGATAAAAAAAAAAAAAGACGTTAMTTTTAAAGGTTCCTTTGAGACCCTTTAAATAGAACAGAATAAGAAACAACCGTGCGCGGATCTCTCTCTCTCTCTCTCTCTATCGTGCGATATTGTTCGAGAGAATGAGAGAACTGGTGAATATGTTGAAGGGGAAAAGGGAGGAGAGGTGTACGCGTTTACGATAGGAGTGTATCCTATCCTCCTTCTCCAAACAATGAACGTTTATCGTTCTGGTAAACACACAGTAGACGACGACGACGACGACGACGACGACAACGATGACGGCAATGAAGCACGTGACTATCCAACGACTTTCTCGAGAATCTAAGCTCCTGTTATTTCTTTAACTAACGATATCGATCCTAGTCAATCTGTTTAGGATTATACACGATCGAGATATCTCGATGAACGAACGTAAGTACGCGCGACAGACACTAACTTATCCCTCTCGTAAGGCCCCGCAAATGCGGACTGCCGCTGGCACTTCGTTCGATGCACCACGCCGGTGACGCCCGTTAAGCAGCTAGCCTCTAGTGGGGGTAACTCAGAGTCGAGGAGTGGGGACAAGCACGGTCCCAGCAGTGAACGATCCCCACTCTTCCCCTTTATCAACGACGCGCTGAGATATCTCAATACATTGTGTCGCCACTCTGAATAAGCGTGCTTTTAATGATCGAAGTAAAAGACTTACACACATGTTAGAGATTTTGTTCTTTTTTCATTTCTTTTTAGATAATATTTACTCATGTACTTCGATTATCTTTTCTCGAGTTTTTGATGAATCAATTTCGTTACGTTTGGGTATGATTTTTTTTCGTACCAGATATATGTATTTTTAGAAATAGAAATTATTCCATAGACAATACAAAACATATAATATAAAATAATATATTTTTCTTTTTAATTGTACACATTTTCTATTAAGATAATAATTAAGTATATAATATTTTGAAGCTTTTAGGTTAGATCAATTTGCCAACATTGAAAAGATTCTTTTCAACGAGATATTTTTTAGAAACAGATATGACTGTTATCGTACAATTGAAATAATTTCTATCAAATAATTATATGATTTGCAATAAATAAAACAATATATTAATATCATATTAATTAATGTTTGATTGCGTTTTCTCAGTAAAGTAATTTGTAACCACAGGTGTGTTTTCCGTTGTTAATTAAAATATGAAATTACTTAAGTTTAGAAAGATATTTTTTTTTTGTCGGCTTTTTGAAACGCGACTATTTCGAAAGTTTTCTCTTAGCAACTCTACCTTTCTCCAGCCCTTTCTCTACGGCCCTTTTATCTCCCGTCGGTGTTTTTATCCAGCTTCGTTTTATCTTCACGCGAAAGATAGAACAGGTATGAAAAGAGATGCGCGTATGAAAGGCGAGTCGAAGGTGAGCGTGCTGATACTGGTGGTGGTGCTGCTGGTGCTAGTACTGGTGCTGGTGCTGGTGCTGGTGCTGCTGCTGTTCACCGGTAGAGCTTTTAAAAGCCGAGATAATTAACCCGTCGTAGGCGGGTTCGTAGTAGTCGAGAGATGCAAACGGAAATCGATTCAAACATCTCCGATCTTCACTCAACGTCAACCATAGACTACTATGATCTTACTTTACTATCGTCATTTAACCGGTTCGTTTAATAATATACGATATTAGTTTGTCGACTTAAGATCCTTTTGAAAGAAACATTAGAAATATATTCAACTTTTGATTATACAATTTTAAAGACTCTATTAATAAGATTACTAGTTAAATGTTTTAAAATATATTACATCCATGAGAGAACACATGAACAGATCGAACGTTCAACCATAGATAACGAGTTAAACTCAAAGTTTCTATTATAATAATAATTCTTTAATAAAATGTCGTCTAAGAATAATTTCTTTAGGGTTTTTTTTTTTTTTTTTTATCTTAATGTTACAATCCGTGAATTATGATAGTTTCATTGGAAAAGTATAATAATTCATTTCCTCATAGTCAATTATCTTTCAATTTTCTGTATAAAGCTTCGACTTATATTTTCGTTCACGAATAAAATATAATTGAGATTCCTAAATTTTCAATGAAATTTGTTGAAAATTACTCGTGACTAAATGTTAAAGTTACACGATATTGTGGAAACGCACAAGCGAGAGATGAATTAAATCCATAATTTGGTTACTATCGGTTACCAATCGATTACATGCTATGACGTATGAATGATCCTGATTCTGATTCTGATACCGTTATTGGACGTTTATCGTTGCACGATATTACTACTGACATACGCTTGAAATTCATTAGAAATAAATTAGCTAACAATTTATTTTTTGATGATCGTGCGTCATAAATTTTTTTTTTATAAATAAGATAATAAGATTACTCATGAAATGACTATGGGATTGAAAATTGCAAAATAATATGTTTAAAATTATTATCACATCAATCGATCGTTAAAAATGCTTGATTTCATTTTATATGTTTTACAATTATTACAATTATAAATTATGATTTCCTTTATTTATTATGATTTTTAAATTAGAGTATAAAATTATTATGAATACAATTGAATATTTTTATTTTTCAATCTGTTTTAACGAATTAAGCCGATAATTCCAGAATTAAAAATATCATTATTAATTCTTCATAATATTGTAATATCTTTTATATTTTATTATGATTATTATCATCAACCGGAATTAAAAGTATGGAACGATAGAGCTCGGTCAAATGGAATGACGTGTAACGAGGTGAGGGAGGATTGGAAAGAAAGAAATGCATTGATTTGGAAAAAATCGGTAAAATCGGGAAAATCGCGGAACCAAGGAAACGAATAAAGTTCGTACGTGATTTACAGATCGTTTCATATTTGAAATTGACGAATGTGACAATACGACGAGTGCCAATACGTTGTATAGATGTATAAGTGTATATATATATATATGCAGTATTATACCTGGTGGTACTCGAAAGCATATGTGCACTGCTCGTAAACTATACTGACAACAATGCTGACTCTTCGGTCTGATTGTCATTGTTCCACAAACGTGTGCGTGTTTGTACGAAGGAACTTAGCTACAGGGTGACGTATGTGAAATCCACATTAAAGTCAAAGACCTTAGAACGTTTTGTGGTTTCCTGTGAACCTTTCGTAGTACGCAATGCGTACAATCTAATAAAGCAACAACAACAAATATTAAATAGCAACGAACCGTAAAAATTTGCCAACCTTGGTAGTTTCTTTTTTCTTTTCCTTCTTACTCTTTCTCTTTCTTTCTTTCTTTCTTTCTTTTATTTAACGTTTCTTCCTCCTTTTAATTTTCTAAAGAATCGACTCATAAGAACTCTGACATTAGGTTCACCGCTTAATGACACTCGACGACGATGAAAGCTTGGACAATAAAAGATCTTATTATCGTTGTTAATTATACTTAAGAAGGTAAATGTGAATAATGACCAACATAAAGAAACTTTCTAATCGTAAAAGTACAAGAGAAAAGACATATATATATATATATATATATATATATATATATATATATATATATATATATATTATATTATATTTAATATTATTATAAATATTTAAAATAAACGATAACCCCCACAATATATATTTCTTATTTCAAATATTTTTGTTCCTTTTTTTAAATAGAAAATAATAATAAGAAATATCATTTACCAATCATCGCGTTATATTGTACGATATAATTATACTTTTTGAAAAACGGTAAATATGAAAAGTTAAGTAGGATTCTGAAAAAAGGACCTCAGAGACTCGTTGGTTTCTAAAATAAGCTCGAAGAGAAGCTTGGAGAGGACAGGGACGGCTGCTTGATGATTGGAGAAGGTACGCGCATGCCATACGGACGGTCCAGTTCTATAAGAGTCTCTCTCTCTCTCTCTCTCGGGTCGATTTTCTCTCCCTCTCCCTCTCCGTCTGTCCGTCTGTCTGTCTGTCTGTCTCACTGTTTCTATATCTTTATCTCTCTTACCCTTTCCTCTACTAGTCTATCTACCTATCTACCTACTACCAACCTACCTATCTACCTACCTACCTACTCACCTACTCGCAACAAGCAGTACATAGCTATGCTTGTCCGAGTTGTTACTCCTAGCTGCTATGCGTTTATCCATTCACTCGAGAGAAGCTGTCCCGTTTCTGCGGTACTATTCTCATCTCGTAACATGAGTTCTCTACTCAAATGAACGACTACTACGAGTATAACGAGAAAGAAAGAGTGATTGAAAACTGAAGAAGCCTGGATAATAAACTAGACAAGTTTGTTGAAAAGTTTAATCGAACGTCTTTGTTTATAGTTACGTCTTCTTTGGGATTTCCAAATGGATTGTTCATCGATGAGTAAGATTGCATAAAAGATACCTCGATGATCATCGATAAATCACGGATGTGTTTTCTCGAGAGAAAAATTATGTGAATCATGGAATAAGAATAAGGTTATTCAAGTAAACAGTCTAATACGCGTTTTAACGTATTTCATGATAGACTTTGCTAATTCTTTTAACGAAAGAATCAGTGGGTGTACGCGAATGAAATTGACTAGTATTGTGGGCGATAGGAAGTATTGTATCTCTAATACTGATTAGCATGATAATTAGATTCATTGTACTTACGCGATCTCCATTCATGTCACGTACACCTACGAATTGAATTTTGTGTATACGTTTTTATGCATATATATATGTGTAAAATCTTGTTTCTCATTGTGTACGTGCGTTCGTACATATGAGATACATTTTTTAATCAACAGATAATAAAAATAGGTATTTAATGATATTTAAAGAGACTTTTGATAAGTATAAATTTGAATCACAAAAATAAAGGAAGAAAAAAAAACAAATATGAATGATACACGCTTGAATCTACCCCTTGTTTCTTCTTCATCGAAAGAGGGGAGACGGAGGGAGGGAGGGAGAGGGAGAGGGGAGGGGGAGAGGAGGAGGTAAAACGAAATGAATGGGAAAGAAAGAAAGGGAAGAGTATGGTAGGAAGTAAGAAAAAAAAAAAAAGAAAACAAATGAGAGAAGAAGAAGGGTCACATAGACTACCTACCCTATACGGTTTAACTTATTCGTGATGACTGTTACGTCAGTGGTTTTGACAACCCTTGACGAATTTTGACGCGAGCAACGCAACGGCTTGCTCTTGCAAGCCGTCACGAATGCGAGAAAGCATCCACGATGAAATGGAATTCCATCGAAGCGAAAGAGAAAAACAGAGAGGGTGATTAAGGGTGAGCACTCCAGACAGCAGAATCACAATCGATATAATAACGCCAAGCTACACTCGATCGTTCGTCAGGGTTGCGTCTGAGTTACCTAAGTACATAACGTTCGTGATACACACCATATGAAGTACCCTTTGCTACATATACTTTTATTTTTTTATTTTTTTTTTTTGTTTTTTTTTTTTTTCTATTCAAATTACGTGCTAAAAAGTGTCGTCCTACTCGT